TTTTGCATCCTTATTGCTCACGGAAGTTTTATTTCTGGTTGAATATTTACATGAATACATCTGTAGGCTCAACTACAATGTTAGAATGTTCAGCTGAGGAATGTTTTAGAGTTTAGACTCAATGGATAAAGGAAAGAGAAACATGATCTCTAAAGAAGATGGAGCAGGGGCCGGTGCTGTGGCACAGCAGGTTAAAGCCCTGGCCTGAAGTACCAGCATCCCATGTGGGTGCTGGTTCTACTACCGGCTGCTTCTCTTCCAATCCAGCTCTCTGTTATGGGCTGGGAGGGCAGTGGAGGACGACCCAAGTCCTTGTGCCTCTGCACCCATGTGGGAGACCCGGAGGCTCTCTCTCTCTGCCTCTCCTCTCTCTGTAACTACAACTGTTTTTTTGTTTTTGTTTTGTTGGAGGGAGGGAGGGTTGTGAAGGGGAGGGAACTTTTATTTATTGTGTTCACAAACTCCAAATAAATAAATCTTTTTTTAAAAAAAAGCAGCATGGAGCATATATTCGGAAGTGCTGCCAACTCTGACCAGTTCTAATATGGTTTTGAAATGAGGGAGAGTATGGGAGAAAAAAATAAGAGATGATAGAAGAGCATTTTTCAGAGGTGCACTGTGACCCAATTCTTCATATTGAAATTACACATTTAAAATACTGATCAATCAAATAATATTATTAAAGATCATTATTATTAAGATATGTTTGGGAAGATTTTCTTGTTCTTAGGTTGAAGAGTTCAATGAACAAATAAATGAGCAACCTATATAATTTACAGATAAGTCAAAAACAGACTTGCCTCAAGCTTTTAGTAGCAGCACTAGATACTGTATGATATTACAGCAGTATTTTAAAAAATATTTATTTTTCATTTTATTTGAAAGGCAGAGAGAGAAAGAGAGAAACAGAGATATAGATGAGAGAAAAAGGGAGGGAGGAGAGAGAGAGAGAGAGAGAGAGGGAGAGAGAAAGAGAGAGAGATGAAGGTTAGAAAGTGAGATCTTCCATATTCCCATAGGCTGGTTTGCTGCCTAAATGCCTGCAACTACCCAGCTGGATGAGACTGAAGCCAGGATCTTCTCACTCCATCCAGGTATCTCACATGGGTGGCAGGGATCCAAATATTTGAACCATCGTCTTCTGCCTCCCAGGTTGGACATTAACGGGATGCTGGATCAGAAGCAAAAGAGCACAGAACCGGCACTCAGAGAATGTGTGTATCCCAAGCAGGATTTTAACTGCTTTGCCAACCACCTGCACCATGTAACTATTTTTAATATTCTTAAGGCATTTCATTTGAATTTAAGATTTTATGTACAATAAATTAGTAAAGGAAAAAATGAAACTACTGGTGTATAAATAAATGTTTTTGTCTAATATAAAAATGTAAAAGTCTGTAATTAAAATTTCACTTGGCTCAAAATAGATTATATATCAGGAATGAAAGCAGTGTGTGTGTTGATGGTGGTGAGAGTAAATATATACAAGGTTGACAGAAAATTATTCTTGAAAGTATAACAAGAGAGGCTAGTTATGGCATGTACACAAAGTTACATCTTGCCCAATGGGTTAATTAAATGAAATAAACTTCATTCACTACCATATAGGTAGAAAAGAAAAATTCAAGCAAAGCAGCAAATCATGAAGTACATAAAAAATAGTAGAGATAAGCCAAAGCTTCTATCCCTAGATGCCAATATGTACACATATCATCAAGACACACCCATGAAGTGGCCAAAGCAGTGCTATTCATAAAAGCCACAAACTGGAAACAACCCAAATGTGTATCCACATTGTAGCATATTGTATAACACTGAAAACAATATCACAGCTACATAAAAATTTTTGATGAAAAATTATACATGTTTACAGCATACAATGTGACATTTCAATGAATGCATACAATGTAAATGATAAAATCAGGAAAACTAATGTCTCCCTATTTTTATTCGTATGTGGCAAGGATGTAGAGAAAAGGGAACCCTTGGACACTGTTGATAGGAATGTAAATTAGTACATCAAGAAAGACAGTAGGGAGGCTCCTTAAAAAAACAAAATTAGAACTACCAGTCCCACTACTGGGTATATATCAAGAGAAATGAAATCCATCTGTTGAAGAAATATTTGCACTCCCATGTTTATTTTAGCACTATTCACAATAGCTAAGAAGTGGAAACAACCTAAATATCCATTGATAAATGGATGATAATGAAAATGTGGTACATATATGTAATGGAATACTATTCAGACATAAGAAATATATCATTTAGAAAACCTGATGGAACTGGAGGTCATTATGTTCAGTGAAATAAACCACGCATAGAAAGACAAGTACTGCATTATTTCACATTGGACTTTAAAAAGCATTGAAGATAAAAGTATCATTGTGGTTACAAGAGGCTGAGAAAGGAAAGGGAATGGGGAAAGATTGAGTGATGAGTATTAAGTTATAACCAGATAAGTGTAAAAAGTTCTGGGGTTATTTGAACAACAGTGTTACTAAATAGACAATGTTAATGTACTCTGTATTTCTCTACTAAAAGAAAAAACTAAGATAAGACTTTAACAGTTTTCACCATAAAGAAATGTTAATGTTTTACAACAGAAATATTTATTCTGACTGAACATTAACAATGTGTACACATCTCAGATCAGCACAAAATACTCCAGAAATATGTACAATTTATATGTGGTTTTTAAAAAAGCAATAACAAAAGGAACTTGAAGCTGGTTCATGAATTTAGAAAAAAATTATAATTTTTAAAAAGTTTTATTTATTTAAAAGGCAGTGTGGTAGAAAGAGGGAGAGATAGAAGGATGGGAACAGAGAGCGAGAGAGGGAGATTCCATCTATCTGCTGGTTCACTTTCAAATAGCTGCAATGTCCATGACTAGGCCAGTCTGATTCAGGGCTTCCAGCATGGTCTCCCACATGTGTTTCAGGGATCCAACTACTTGGGCATCGTCTGTCACTTTCCCAGCACATCACCAGGAAGTTGTATCAAAGTAGGAAAGCAGGAC